CGGTAGGATGCAAGCGAGTGAATACTCGGATGGCCAAGGTGGGGGCGGGACCAGCTCATAGTGGTCTCCGGCTTTCGTTCGAGCGGGCTTAGCTGTCTGCAGTTTCGGCCGCCACTCCTCCTTGATCTGTTCTTTGGATGACGGAGTGGTCCGGAGTGGCGGCGAAGGTGTGGGAGGCGGGTCCTGCAAAATAGGCAGCACAGAAGGATACACGACAGACTCGTGCTCCTGGTGAGATACAGCATGCAGAGGTAACGAAGCAGGTATAGTGTTAGCAACTGAAAACGTTATTCGCTCCTCGCCGTCCCTCAAAACTAAGGTCCCATCATGCACATCTATGAGAGCCTTGGCGGTGGCCAGGAAAGGCCTTCCCAGTATAAGAGGCACTTCTGTGTCCTCACTGATGTCCAGGATAACAAAATCCACAGGATATGTGAATTTGCCAACCTTAACCAGAAGGTCTTCCACTATACCCCTAGGATGCACTACAGATCTGTCAGCCAATTGAAGGGTCATCCTAGTAGCACGGGGTTCACCTAGGCCTAGTTTCATGAACAATTTATATGGAATAATATTGATACTAGCACCTAAATCCGCCAAGGACTTCTCTACATGCAATTTATCAATAGAGCACGGGATAGTAAAACTACCTGGGTCCTGTTTCTTCTGCGGAAGCTTGTTCTGCAGAATAGCCGAGCACTCCTCGCTGAGCTCCACAGTGGCCAGCTCACTCAGCTTCTGCTTCTTTGAGAGAAGCTCTTTCAGAAACTTCGCATACTTCGGCATTTGCGATAGTGCCTCCAGGAAGGGCACTTGGACATTCAGCTTCTTAAGCATGGCCATGAAGTTCTCGAACTCTGCCTCCAGCCTGTCTTTGTGCAACCGAGTAGGGAAAGGGAGTTTAGGGACATACTCCTTCACTACTGGTTGCGGTTTAGGTGCAGGCACCTCAACCTCCTTCTCTACTTCTTGTTCAACCGCTGGAGATGCTGCAACAGGGCTTTCTCTCTCCGGTTCCCGAGCAGGGGGATCAATAGTCATCTTGCCACTCCTGGTCATGATGGCATTGCAGCGCTCATCCGGGGTCGGCGGGTGAGGGATGGTCTGCCCTGGTAGAGTACCAAGAGCCCGTTGAGCCACTGCCTGGGCCACGCTCCCCAGCTGGGTCTGGATATCCTGCAAAACGGCCTGTGTGTTCCTCTGGCCAGCTTCTAGAGCCAGGATTTTACCCGAGGCCTTCTCCATGAACTGCTCAAAGGTGTTGAATTTCTGAGCACTAGTACTGGCGAGAGAACCGACCAAGTCCCGCAGCTCAGCCATCTGATCATTCTGTACTGGGGCAGCAGGGGCTGCACCTGGCTGCTGGAAAGGCCGCGGCTGTGATTGAGCAGCATGCCCCTGCATGGGCTGATAGAGAGACTGTTGTTGCTGCTGGAATTGCTCCTGTCTGGGCTGATATGGTGGCCGCTGGAAGCCTGGTGGTCCCTGGGGAGCTGGTGGTTTGAGATTTTGCCCAGCCCAGGAGAAGTTAGGATGCTGGCGCCACCCCTCATTGTACGTGTTGCTGTAGGGGTCATTGCGCCTGACATTGTTGATGAAGTTCACCTGCTCCTGGGGTGTGGTTGATTCCTTCATCGCCTGGCAGTCCTCCACCGTATGATGGGTGCTTTCACACCATTGGCAGAGCATCGCCTGCTGCTGTCCGGTCCCTGGAATCATCCCAGAACGATCGATAGCTGAGACCAGCTTCGATACTACCTGCACCAAATCAGCTGACTGGGTGCCCACAGCATGCACACCCCCGTCCAGGTGCTCGTCTCGATCTCCTGGCAGTGCCCCAGTCATAACCGTTCTCCGCCATCTCCTCAAAGAGTTGATTCAGCTGTGGCGGGGTTTTGGTCAGCATGTTCCCGCCACAAACCGAATCGATCAGCTGCTTGTCCTCCGGGAAGAGGGCGTGATAGAAGGTGCCCACCTTGAACGCATCGTTGAAACCATGGTTGGGACACCTGAGAAAGAGGCTGGTGTACCTCTCCCAAGCATCCCTAATGGTCTCATCCTCATCCTGAGAAAAATGTGTAATCTGCTTCTGGAGATCAGCTGTCTTGGATGGAGGATGGTAGCGGGTGAGGAACTTGTCCGCCAGGTTGGCGAACGTGGTGATGGAGCCCGGAGGTTGAGTGTCTAGCCACTCCTTGGCCTGCCCCTCCAGAGTGAATGGGAAGTACCTCAGCTGGATGGCATCTGCTGGTACCCCATTGATCTTGATTCCATCGATGAGCTCGTGGAATCGCCTGAGATGTGATCGAGGGCACTCTCCCTCCTTACCACGGAACACCACTGAACCGCGCAGCATGGTGATCACTGAGGTGCTCACCTCAAAGTTGTTGGCTGGGACATGAGGGTGTTGAATGGGTGACCTCATGTCTGCAGCCCTAGCGGTCCAGTAGGATCCCATGGTCTGCTCCTTTGGGATCACATCACGGTTCTGCGGATCACCCATCTCTCCTTCTTCTTCTTCTTCTCCTAACTGCAGCTGTGTTAGCGCCTCCTCCGCAGCCAGTCGCGCCTTTAGAGCCCGCTTGAAGTTCCTGCAAGTTCGTTCAAGCTCCTGGTCTAATGGTAGTAGATCTCCCGACTGGCTACGGGTCATGCACTACCTGCACACAATCAGCAGAAGCAACCCGTGAAGGCACACAGGTGGAAGAGATAAAATGCAGTAAATAAAAGCTAGAGTAACAAATTCTCACGTTTCCCCAATAATCTAGAGGGGCCCCCGGCAACGGCGCCAAAAACTTGACACGCCAAAACACAACACCAAACTGCGACCAAGTGTAATCGCAGTCCGGGAATGCAGTAACAGGCAAGTTTAATTATCAACCCGGGGTCTAGATCTACTGCTTACTCCGTGATTCTCTATTATCTAGCAAACTAGTTCGAGTGATTGTTGTGAAAAGTAAAAGCAACAAGAAAGCAGTAAATTGTTCGGTTTCTAAAGCAGGCAATAGTCACTCGGGATTGAGTCCCCCTAGCCCCTTAGTTAGGTTCAATTGCAATTCCCTGGGTTGATTTACTGTTGATTAGACTGCGGAAGATCCGACAGTAGCTTGGAATCTCTTAAGCTGACCAAGCCCTCTCAGTCTAACTACCCGGCAGACGACTAGTCTTCACCGGGATAGAAAGCTGAGGCTATGAACACAGAACTCCACTACTGGCGCCAAGAACACCAGTACAAAGCAGTGAATTGGCTAACTCTCGTATAGCCAATCTCCTACTATCGAATGAAGAGGCTCTAACAACCTAATCAGATTCTATCTATCTCAGGTTGCAGCAGAAATTGAGAAAAGCTGATCAGACTCAAATCAATTCATTAAACATGCGTCATTCGATTAAAATCAAACAGTAATATCATCCCAAGTCATTACAATCAAATCCCTAACACAAGGAACTAGGGTTCTTCATACCCAAGTGAGAGAGGGGTTCTACTCCATAGAGAGAGAAGAGAAAACAAGAATCGGATTAGTCATACTCATAACGATGAGGATAATCTGCTCCGGGACGATGATTTCCACTCCTATGACGATCTCCAAGCTCGATTCGATGAAATCCAGCTCTAAGACAGCTTCTAGGGTGTGTTCTTCGTACTTTCTCTCTCTAGGGCTCTGTTTTTGCTCTGAAAACACGATTCTCCCACTTTTCGCTCGGAATAGGCTCTAAAACCAGGAATTCCCGACACGCACGGCCAGGGTGCACGACTGTGCAGATCACCCACTTGGCCGTGCACTCCAAAACGCGGCGTATCAATTAGTTCGACCTCAGGCTTCTCGCACGGCCAGGGTGCACGGCCGTGCAATCTTCAGGGTCTGCCCGTGCATGTCCTCGGCATAAGGCGCACGGCCATATTGCTCACGTGCACGGCCGTGCGTCTCCCTGGTCTGCCCGTGCAGCTCCCCAAAAACCTCGCCATTCGTCCGTTCTTCGTCCAATCGACCCCAGACTCGCTCCTAAGCCTTCATTCACGTACTAGGACCTGAAATATCACAAACAAGCACAACCTAGCGTGAAATCGGCCTAAAACACGAGAATCAACACCTCAAACGGTGTAAGAACGGGGGTAAAAACATGTGTAAATGACGGTCTATCAATGGCAACAAGACATTTCATAAGAAAATCTGAATTCATCCAAAAACTGGATTTCTTAACCTTCACCATCACTTGCCATACAAACGATTCCATCCATATGGAATAAACCAGGTCAGGCACAAAAAGAGGGGGGGACCGACTGTAATATCAATGATGATGCACCTTGATTACCCGCGCTACCCTCGCGAAGAAAATAGGACTAGAAAAATAAATGGACTACTTTGGAGTTAGATGAACCAGCAACTTTTCAGTTACCCAGTTCGACAGGTGCGACATTAGGTCATCAAAAATGAAATTGCATCGTTCTATTACTCCCAAATCCCAATGACCTTTTTTTTCTTTCTACTTAAAAATGTGGGATGAATAGGAACACAGAAAGCATTACCACTTGTTTGATGTAAAGCTGAAATGCATACTCCTTCTGTTTGAGGGACAATAGATAGTTTCATGCCAATCAAGTATTCCACAAGAGCTTGAAATTGGTAGTTAGTAGGATCACCATCATTGCACGCACCAGTATCTGAAAAAGGGCAAATAGTATGAACAAACTTTGCCTGTCAAGATAACGAAAGATAAGTAATCTCAAATTCGTACCTGATTTATCCAAAGATGTTATAGAGCACATTGGATGAAATAGCATAGAAGATTAGTCAGAGATATGAGAAACATTAGATTTAGCTCTAAAGGTACAGTGTTGAAACATACCAACTGAACACTGCAAAGTCCACTGGCAACCTTGGATGAATTGCTTGCTGATTTTTCTTTTCTTCTCCTTTTAGGAGATTGGGGATCAAAACCATGCATAGCTATACCTGTTTCCTTATGCTTCTTGGCTTCACGGCTGCGCTTTCGGGTCATTATCTCATTGGGCCATTAGAGACCTCATGTGACGTGATCTGATCACTTTCATTATTCAGGCCATCATACTCAAGCATCTTGGGAGGCTGGTTGGTAGGAGCAGGGGTAGGAGTACACTGATCCATTGCATCCCTTACTCCTGAATTGGACTTTCCAACGTTTCTCCTCAGTGAATTATTAAGCTGTATGGTTACCTCATTGAGCTGTTTCTGAAGCCTCTCAACTTCATCAGAAAGCATTTTTCCTGCCACATAAGATGCCATCGATGAGTAAGTCGACACAAGTTTTTCGACACACCATTATCATCACTTTTAACTAGGATTTTATAAGAAAAACATGTTTGAGTTTTCTCAGATGAATGTACAACATCGGAAGGTGGATAATCTCCCAGAAAGAGGTCAAACATAAATTGAATGGCCATTACAACTTAATCAAATCAAGTTGATTTAGGATGTATAAGCTATCTCATTGGCCCTAGTGGACAATATCAATATGACATCAAGGAGACTACGATGATATGTCACTAATCTTCTACCATACTGGTAGATGAAAAGAAGGCTATTGCAAGGGCAGTTTATAGGGGAGGGAGTAACCAACTTTTAGCTCAAAACAAAGTAGGCAAGTTCTTTCTGGAACACCAACTGACAACCTCCATATTCAGATCCAAATCCTCCATCGTAGTGGGATGAATATTTATTAAGCTCTCTCTCACTCTCTCTCTCCTGAAAATGGTGAATAACAAAACAACTCAAAGTAGCTTACTCTTTTCACTCTCAGAACCTATATTATTAGATATCCTCGACAAAGCCATACAGATGGAAACACTAGTTTAACGACAAGTCGACAGCTAAACTGGTAATGCATACCTGATCGAGGTAGCTTCAGCACGCCACTGGCCGTTTTCATCTTTCAAGTGTTGTATGAGATTGTCCGCAGCTGCAGCGATAGAAGGAAGCCAACTGAGGACTTTCAGGATTTTTGAAGTTTTTCTATTCCAATGCTTGACTCGACACATTGCCTACTGGAAAATTGGGGGCGGGTGTATGTGGGGATTGCAACATTCTGTTTTTGGATGCCAATATACTACTTTGAACAAATAGGATTCACTAAAACAACCATCTATGTCACTAAACTTTGCTACGACTATCAAAATAGTGATCCTAGTTCCCATTGTCCACAATTAATAGTTGAAAGATGAAAAAAAAGTGATGCATTTTCTCTTGATATAGTCCCGTAAGGTTATGGCATCAGTGAACAGAAGGAAGGTAAGATCAATCAGCTTTTGGACTCGCATATCAACCTTAGAACTCATCCTTGTTGCACCACTCTCAATATTCCTTTCTTAATTTTGTATTCCTTCATGCAAATTGCAATATTTTCTTTTCAGTCCACCACAATGACTACGGAACTAGATTCTTCTAGCCTAAAAGTAAAAGAAGCGTCTATGCTCGGTTCTGAGCCTTTAAGAAATCAAATTGATGCCTAAACAGCCAAACCCTAGCTAACCCAATTGGAAAATTCAAACGCCAAGTGACTGCAGTTTGCATTTGGGAGGAGCAAGGTCCATTGCTATGGTGTACATATGAAAAGGAAGAGCGGACGACAAATGAACATACCGGAAACCAAATTCAAGAACTTCAATTCCTGGTCTTGGTTGATTTCATCCAATGAAAATGTTTTCTCATTCTGTTGCATCATGACATCATCCAAGAGGCATTCAGTAGTTAGCTATGCTTGAACAGCAGGCACATAAAGGAAGAAGAAAGTAGAGCCTTGTAATTTGAAATCCCATATGAAATGAGTCTAACCTAACGAGACGAACGTATCATAAAGATTCTTATACATAGCCTCCATAAGTTCACTAAATTCGTTTCCAAGTCAACCAACGCAGCAATTCAAGTTCTACCGGTGAATGATGGGGACAGATTGGGGAAGGAGGCGACCCCACTGATTTTAGTAGAGAGAGGTGAGTGAAAGAGACGATGAAATCAGAGGGCGACACTGCCTCGCCCTCACTTATCCTCTGCTCCTCTAGGAGAAACACAGGAACTAAGGGTGAGAAGAAGAGGGCTTCGAGACCCTAGAAATGCAGGAACCAGAGACCAGAATGGAGGTGGAACTTGTGTTTGTGTACCGAGCGGGGATGTGAAAACTGAAAATTTCAAACTGCGGAACAAGTACTCGGTGCTCTCGTCACCGAAAAAGCTTTTGATCGTTTTAAGTCTCAATTTTATTTCTTTTAAACCAATAAATCAGATTAATTGTATTTTTCAAAATGATATATACTTTTATATGGTTTTGAAATAAAAAAATTAAGATATTTAGTCTGAGTTTATACCATGGTGGTATTTTTGGGTATTACATAAGAGTATACACGTGGTATAAAAACGTATCATAGTGGTATGAACAAACTAGACTGTAGAATTGTACAATACATGATAGTAGAAAATATTGATATGATCACAATTCGGCCATTCCACAAGTTCCAATTGATCGCTTAAGAATCAAACCAAGTTGACAAGTTCAAAGGAAGAAATTGGCTAAGTGTTGGAGCAGTTTCGAGAGGTCTACTTTGGAGGGTTGGTTCTCACAACTAGTTAAGTGAAAATTCAAGATTGAGGACTTGTTTTGAAGTTGGAGTGATCCTCTACAAGGTGGAGTGCTTGGATCCGAGAAGAAGCCAAGAATGTCATTTTTTAAGCCATTCAAAAATCGCTCCTGATACTTGAAAACTGCCTGATTTTGGCTAAGGCATAAATGTTGTTTGAGGAAGCAACTTTGGATCCTTATTCGAGGATCTTGGGATGCAATCAAAGGAAGCTGCAAGTTGGAGATTGACTCGCTCTGAATATCACACTTAAATCTCACCTAAGGCCCAAGTATAAACCTTAAATGGGTGCAATATAGGGCAAGTATGTTTAAATATCAACCCTGGCCGATCCATGTACCCCTACTTCGATTGTTTGAAACATTATCTAGCGGAATGAAGTTTGTAAGAATCTCTACATTCTACGATTAAAAATGCAAGACTTGAAAAGTAAAAGGATTGAAACTCTTGGTGAGAAGCTTCACTCAGAAGTTGTTTACCCCTAACTAACTACCATGAACCGTGGGATTGAATGAATCGGTGTGCGACAAGGCGATTGCAAACCGTTAGGAGGAGCAACAGTGGTTAGAAACCACACTCTCGATCACTAGGCCAAGGAATGCATTATAGGCTACGAAAGTAGCCCTCTTGACCCAAACAAAAGAGGGTTGACTTACCTTCTCTCTCAAACCGAGGTTTGGAACAGCTTAATCACAATTAACCTAGATGTCTAATTCGAGTTTAGAGGTTTGTCTTACCTTAACCTAATTAGACGCCATGGAATGCCTAAGAAGACCCAGCTCAATTTGAGCCTCTTAAGATAAGGGAGTTTCTCTCTAAGCTAGGTTGGAGTAGCACAATAGATTGCCAAGCACACAAAATTCACAATCACCATGAACAATACCTCAAACATTAAATTAAACATCACCCACACACAATCATTCAATCCACACAATCAACTACATGGTAGAAGTTAGGGTTCTACAACACCCAAGTGAATAGGGGACTACTCCATGCTAGAAGAGGAAGAACACAAAGGAAAAAGGAAAAAACCATCATGGATGATGCCTCAATCCTTTCTTGTGTGTGTAGAGATCCTCTTTTGAAGAGGAACTTCCCAATTCTTGACTCGGAGCAACCCTAGCCTCTTCTCCCTCTTGGTTCGTGGCTTTCTCTCTTTAGGGTTTCAAGAAGAAGAAGGTTTCTCTCACTTTGGGCTCCCCCTTCTTCTTCCTTTCATCTCTCCTTTTCTAGGCTGATTGCGCCCAGTTCACGGTCGTGAACATCTGGCGTGGACCGTGAACATAGCCAAAACGCACTGCTTTCATTTCTTGAGTTCGCGGTCCATGGCTTTAGTTGGCGTCAGTAACTTTTGAAACCTCCCTGGACACCCTTCAGTTCGCGGTTCGTGGTTCCATTTCACGGTCCTAGCGACCATGAACTCACAGCTTGGACTGTGAACAGCGGCTGTTTCCTCCTATTTGCCCGGTCCTCGCGTCATTTCTTCCAACTTTCGACTCAAGGGTTGGTTCCACCTGTTAGACTCTGAAACACAATGAAAAAAAACAAACCTAACGTAAAACCACCCTTTAACGCCAAAGAGAAACGGGGATAAAAAGTGTACATTTAGGCCTGAAGCACTCCCCGCACTTAGACGTTTGTTTATCCCCAAGCAAACCATTTCACAATATATCAACCTAACAAAAGACCTTGGGGACAACTCAAAGGGCACAAAGTGGGGAATCTCAATGGCTATTGGCAGTTAACACATGGATTGTTGCAAGCGATACTGGCATCCACCACAAATGACATTCGAGACCACCAAAAATGGGCAAACAAAAAGTTTTCACCTTGTTCATTAATCAATGAAAGTCTCGACAAGATCACTCATCAAACACAACTAACCATGCATAATATTCAAGTCCAAGGAATAAATGAATGGGCAACAAAGGTCCTCACCGGGGTATGACATGACATGCAAAGCAAGAATGAATCACTCACTCTCTTGATCACTGGGGTCGGGACCATTTGATTCAAAGAATGCGCACAATCATCAACACTCGGCCCTATCATCTCTTCACCATGGAGGCAACCTCTAAATGCTAGAGTTCACGGGGTGGTTGTCATCACTAGCTTGTCCAGAGGTCTTAGACACTGGTTCAAATGACTGCCAATTGGCTTGGACATGGGGAAAAGGCCTTTTGGGTGGTGGCAAACACAACACAAGGTCCTACATCTTCACTCTAAACCCGAAGGTTCCATGGTATCGACTAAGAACCTTCCCTACAAACGATGGCCACTAGCATCGGCCAAAAACCTTACTTCTCCCTTCCAAACTATCACCCATCACAAACCACATTCAATCACACTTCCTCGGCCTACTCTAGCTATCACATTTCATACATAGTAAAGGAGTTCAACAACAATTTTGGTGTTTCAATGACTTGAGTGCCAAGAAACCCTTCCTAGAGCATACACTTTGATTTTATGGCCACTCTCTACTTTATTTACCCAGTTTTATTACCTCATTTTCGATTCTTTTTTTCTTTCTACTTTCCTTTTCTTTCTTTTTTCTATTTCCTTTTCTTTTTTAGGGGGTACTAGAGAGTGAAACACATGCCATTTAACGGACAATTCTCTTGATTAAGAACTCACTCCAACACTACCTCTTCATTTCTAGCAAGAATCGCACAAAATCCTCTTATGTAGAACCTCAATTGAGCTCCAAAGCATGGGCTCCGGGACACAAGGACGACTCACGATGGTTTAGACACGAAGAAAGGATGGGGGGTCATTCTATCAAACACCATTAAGCTCACAAGCGAAAAGCTCCTACAAGAGAACGACCCCCAAAGTCACAAGGCTCAAAGGGGTTGACTAGGGGATAGAACATTTCGGGACAATCAACATTTGGGTGTGGACTAATCCTATGTCTCCATCATACTCACTAGTGACAACTGTGATGTTACTTGCCATGGTAAGAGGGATCTAAGCACACAAGAAGAAAACGATCGGCTCAAAACTCACATGGCTACTTAGTCACCCAACCATCTATTCCACTTCACAAAACACAATGCATGGAAATTGTCATTAACAAGTAATCGAGTCAAGACATCCATTCATTTTTGCACACATGAGAACTAAAACTTTGCACTATCCTAATGCACCTCTGAGTCATCATAATAGGATGCACTCGATTACATTCAACAATTTAAGGTCAATGCCAAAAAACACGAGATTTTGCCACAAACCGGCCACTTTGATCATGCAAGCATTGCTTGGAGCCCTCAAAATTTTCAAATTTGGGCATACATCAAGGCTCCAAGCATCCAATCACACTCACACAAGCATGATAATAAACTACCCCTCACACTTAAGCTTGACATTGCCCTCAATGGCGTAAGATAGGGGTAGAAATCGCATGGCTTGGTGAGTGAAAGTTGGAATTTTTTTCCGGGGTAGGAGAATGGAGCTTCAAGGAGAAGACAAAAAAAAACACAAACACATACTCGCTCGAGGCGAGGTTATTACCCATAACAATATGATAATAGTAGTAGTTGTTCACACAAACACTGAATAAAAGAAAGAAAAATAAAATAAAAGATAAAAGAGTTCGGAGTTCCATGTGGAGAAGCGGGGCGAAAGGAATTGGGTCAATTGGGCGGGTTTGGGTTGGGTTCAATCGGGTTGCGGGTTAGTCGTGTTTTAGGTTCATCGGGTTGCGGGTTCGGGTTCAAATGGGGTTGCGGGTTAATCGAGTTCATAGGGTTTTGGGTCGGTCGGGTTGCGGGCGGATCGGGTTGCTGGTTGTTCGTGTCAGTGCATTGAGTAACTTACTCCTTACTCATTACCAACTTACTCATTTTATTACACTAATTTAAAATATTTTTCTCAATTTTTAACCAATTTCTTTCTATCTCATATATATACTTAATTACAAAAAACTAGTCAAAATGTTGAATCAATTTGTATGGCTTGCATACTTGTTATGTAATTAATCGTAATTGGTAAAGTACACTAGCTAATCGTAATTGTGATATCAACATTTGCAACCAAAGGACACCATTAACTGTTTATTTGGTATTTTAGTATTATTTCGATAGTAATTGGATTAAAGTATCTCGTTTTGTATAACCATGCAAATCTGGTATTTGGCAAAAACAGAGTGGTAAAAGGATTTATTTCGAAAGAACTCATTGCCTAAATAACTTCAGTAAACTGTTGTCAAACGAGTTATTTGTAAAAATTATCCTAAAAATTGAACCATTGAAGATTAACTATCAAATTTAGTCAAACTGTTGTGAATTCAATCATAACTCACTCAATAACATATATCCTATACACTTAACCTTACCCTCAATCGACAATATTAAGTTAGTATATGTTGTTGATCGTATACATACCATATACTCTAACCATATATCCTATCCTTATGAATTGTGATTTTACTAGTATAGTTAATTTAAAGTGAAATTCATACTTTGATTTTCAAAACATCTGCAAATGAGCTGAGTCAACAGTATAATTTATAGCTGAAAAGTAAAACTGCTGCCTCCATTCAAATTTTCCTGTCCATAGAGTGATTTTAGGAAGCTGACGTGGCAGGATGTTGAGCGGGATAAAAATAAAACTCCCCGCCAGATTGCAGAACTAAGAATCGTCCACTACCCACCTTTTTCTCCTGGTTTCCCACGTTATCATTTAGTTATTATTTATTTTTCATTTAATTTTCGTTTGGCTGAAATAAGCCCACCTGATTTGAGTACGGCGGCAGGTGAAGAGATCGAGAGGTGCTCCCCGTACCCTAGCGCGACGGCGGCGGAGGTGGAGGCGGAAGTTGATCGGCTCGCCTCCGACGTTTCCTGCTGCTCCAGTAATGGATCGACCGAGGGAGCGTTTGAATTCTCCGATCTGCTGCAGGAGGATGAGGAGGAAGTTGAAATCGAATCGCCGACGAATTGCAGCGACGGCGAGAGAGAAAGACCTCCGCGAATATCTTCTTCGACGCCGGCCCATCGTCCGATGGGTGGGCCAACGAAAATGGGTTCGCCGGAACTACTTGTTGGAATCGATTGGCCGACCTTTCATGATTACTACCATCAGTCTCTTACTTGTCATCCCTTGCAAAGAAAAAACACAAAAAGAAAAAAAAAGAAAATCTGGGATAATCACCGGCAGTTCCTTTTCTGGGCGGTCCATAGCCTCTGTGCGATGTAATTTTATTGCAAGTGTTCCGGTACGCAGAGCCACAATAGTTCTCCCTTGGGTAAGATACCCTTTAATTTGTCCTATTGTTTTTATTTGTTGATTGATATATGGCTTTCATCTCTGTTCTTGCCTAAGCTTTTCTCAACGACTGGCATGGCTGGCGAGAAATCTTCCTCCAATAGAAGTATTGGCAGTTACGACCCAAAATATTTTAGAGGATCCCAAATTATTTAGAAGTATTGGCGAGAAATCTTCCTACTGAGCATGAAGCTTCCGTTTAGCTTATTTCCCCTCAGATTTAAGATAGCAAGCATCCCAAAATTCACCATTAAACGGCTTGGAATTGTGCCGGTCAAATCATTGGTTCGATAGATCAAGGACTCGGAGTGATGAAGCAGTGCAAATACTGGTTGGGATAACTCCTCCTATACGATTGTTGGATAGTATGATGATGTTGGTAAATAAAAAGTGATTGCTCAGTTCTGCTGTAATCGAGCCATTGAAATCATTGTGGGAGTAATCCACGTAGCTTATGTCTAATGATGAGATGATTGGAATTTCCCCTTCGAGATTGTTATGTTGCAAGTCCAAGGTAATGCCATAGGGAAGAGAAATAGGTACCTCGAAACACCTTAGGTTGTTGTGCGAGAGATTGAGATGGTATATTGTAGTTGATTCCAGAATCCAACGGGGTACTACCCCACTGATATTGTTTCCCGAAAGGTCTAAATAGGATAGCCTTGACTGATTGCTCAACTCTGGAAATATTCTTAGATTGCTCCATGCCAGACTCAATGTGTTAAACTGAGGAAAAATGGATGATAAGGTAGAGTTCTTGTTGTTCCCACTTGCAATATCTGTCAAGTTGCTGTATGACAGATCAAAAGTGGTGATTTTCGGGAGCGCCTAGATGCAGTTCCACTGTACACTTCCTTTAAATCTATTGGATGAAAGTATGAGGACTTTCAGTGTTTGGACTTTAAAGATGGAGGGATGGATGGGACCTTCCAAATTGTTGCTGCTCAAATCAAAAGTATCAAGAACAGAAGAAGCAGGATTTGAAAAATCTGGAGCCTGACCCTTGAGTTGGTTGAAGGCGAGCTGAATGTTTTGCAGGGATGGAACGGTGAACAATGATGGTGGTATGCTTCCATTGAAAGAATTGTACCTGAGGTCAATATACTCAAGTTTCTGAAAGCTTTGCCAGTGAGTCGGTATCTCACCTTTTAACTGGTTGTGAGATAAGTCTAGATATACCAGATTCTCAGGCAATCCTGGTGATGGAACTAGGCCAGTGAGATTGTTGGACGAAAAATCCAATTGATCTAGGCACCTGGGCACTCGGAGACACGGTTTCACTTTGGTGGGCGACGCCCAGAACAACTAATAAAGGGGAAATTGTAGCCTTTTTGTGAAAATCCCAAACCCTATTCTATTTCCCCTTTCCACCCGCTTTGTAGCCTCCCCGAGAACCTGCCCAATCCTCCTAGAAGATTGATCAATCTGCACTCGCATTTGCCGGATTTGGTAGGCTAACTGGGTTGCCGGCGCCAATAGTCTCTCGAAGGCCCAGAGGTTTCTATTTTTCCATAGTTGCCAACAGAAAGTAGCGAAGAGGAATGCGTCTATCGGTCTATGGTATTAATAGTCATCTTTACCACTATGCTTTTCATTTTATTTGTTGCTTCTAATTATAATGATCAACAGATAAGTCAATAAAATATGTGATCGCGTTGACCTATCAATCAATTTGGAATTGTGCAAATTGTTGAAAATAAACACTATTTCAAGAGACATTGTTTTATGCAGGTATAACAGCTCCATTCTCTACTAGCAAAAGCAAAGTCGATCATTTGCCTGGAGGGAGGGAAACATCTTTGGGAATCTTCTTGAAATTCCCCGACTTTTATTGTTGATCATCTGACCTTCCAAAAATAGCGATGAGCATAATGTAATTGTCCATTTTTTTGCAAGAGGATAATAGATTACCAACTAATTCACTAATAATTCTTGAGCTTTACGGATGGTATTCTTTTTAATTAATTTTCTTTATTATAGTTATTTATTGTTGTAAATTTTCACTTCATAATGTTAGTATACGTGTAACTATAAACATAATTGTTGAAAGCGTACTAATATTTGTGGATACTCGAAACCTAATATGCTATGAAATAGGTGGCAGACACAAGGACTGTCTTAAATTTAGCATATGTTATACTATCGAGCTAAAAGCCGAGCACAAAGCTAAGAACAAATTTATGGGCACACAAATTTTTGACAAAAAAGTTTTTATTTGTTGGTGGTACATATTTGTTATAAATTTTTAGAATCTTTCAAATGACATAGTAGACAAATCTATAAGTGTTGACTTTTAGATATCAAAGGCAACACCAAAATCAATTATAAAAAATCCATATTGATTTACTAAAATCATGAATCTTTTTCAGAAACTTAATTTTCACAACAAATGATTGTATGTTTGAACTATAGAGTGCCTTATTTAATTAAAATTATGAAGAAATAATTGGAATATTTCATATATGTCCATTATAATACAATTGTACTATCCGTATACATTAATGTTAGCTATTAACAACCACAACTGCTTTTGGAGATATATATTATTTAAAAGTGAATTATTAGTTAATAATTTTGTATTTTCTAAATTTGTACCTAATGGTTGTCGACCATAAAATTTGAATCCTTTATTTGATAAATTTTTATCCCTCCAAATTACTAATAGGGAAAATCCCTTGGAGTTTATAATTAATACTTCAATGCTTAATTATTTTATTTTCATGGATATAATAGAAAAATAAGTGAATAATATCAAATTTTATGAAGAAATATTTTTAAGTAATTTATTCTAACAATAGGAAGTGATTTTTTTCTTAAATGTAAAAAATATATAGACAACAGTAAGCGATAGCATGATCAATACAAATACTTATAAACTAACTAATGTTACAATCAATAATTCACACAAATATTAGTTTCAACCCACTAATAAATTATTTAGACGATCCCAAATTATTTGAAAATATGAAAAAATAGATTAATATAAAAATATAATAAATAAAACTAAATTCATCCGACCAACGGGTCGGGTAAAAAGCTAGTTATTGACTAGCTCAGCTCAAACTCTAAATTAAAATCCCAAGTTCGAGCTCGGCTTAAATTTGACACAAGCTGGCAACGTCCAAAATTAATCTTAGCTCGACTCCAACATTACCCAGCTTGAGCTTGACTCGAATGCAACTCGACAAAGGCTTGATTACTAGCTTAACGAACCCATTCAAAACCATCAATACTTATACCCTAACCGTATACACCATAAGCCCATATGTACTTTATGCCCTATACCCTAATCATATATTTTATACCCTAAACAACGAACCGTCAAAGATTACTTATCAAGTTTAGTATAATTGCTGGCTCATATTCACCTGCCCATAAATTTTTCATTCCAAAGTTCCCACAAACGTCCCTCTCATTTTCCATTCCAAAGTGACGGGCAACCTGATTAACAAAAATTTTCGAACCCGCAACCCGACTGAGTTATTGCAATTGTATGACTTAACAGGCTAAGTTTATCCCCCGATTTGAAATAAAAGTTCAACTCAAACACAACTTAAATGTGCCAAATTTTACTTAGTATTGTAAAATAACGATCATGTAGTGTTGAAGTTGCAATAAATGTAGAAGTATAGAAAACAAGTAGACAAATTAAGTAAATTTTTCTAAAACTAATGATTGTTGTAACTAATGGTTAATTTAGTTATTAGACCATAAACAATTATTTATATATATATATATATATATTAGTTCAAAGTATATAATAATAAATTTAATTAGTCATACCCTCCATATAAAAATTAAAGATTCATATTTCAAAGGCTAAAATTTTGAAAACCCAAAAAGTTGAAAACACCAAAATTATTTCATTCTTTCTTTTCATAAAAAAAAGAAGTTAAAATACTAGAATTCCCCTCCTTCTTTCTCCTTCCATAAATTAGAAACACTCAATTTTTCCTTTTCTTTCTCTTCTATAAAATTGAAGAACCAAATTTTCCTCTTTCTTCCTTCCTTCCACAAAAAGTTGAAAACTCAAAATTTCCCTCCTCATTTCTCTTTCATAATCAAAAGAACCAAACTTTTCCACTTCTTTCTCTTCACACAAATCAAAACTACCAAAATTTCCTATTGTTTATTTTCTAAAAATTTCAAAAAACCAAATTTCACTCTTCTTTCTCTTCCCAAAAAGTTGAATGCACCAAAATTTCTCTCTTATTTTAAAAGAATCAAATTATCAAATACTTTAATTTATTTATATTTAAATACGTTACTTTACTTTTTAACTTTATTGAATAGTTAAATTAACCAAAATTTTAATTTATATATTATATTAATATTGACATTGTGCAGATTTTATATTTCATATTTATATTTTTAAATTTGTTAAAGAACATAGTGTTCAAGTGATCTTCATGTTTGAATTTTTGTAATTTTCTTAAAGTATATAATATCAAGTGAGTTTCATATTTTTTAAATTCCCTATACAAATGAAAAATAATTTTACATAAGTATATGGTTAAAATCTTTATTTGAAAAACTATGTATTGTATAATATAATAATTCAAGTGGATTAGGTGAAGTTCGAGTTGAGTCGGTCGGGTTACAGGTTAGTTGGGTTCGGGTTGATCGGATTGCAGGTTTAATCGGGTTTGAGTTAATCAGGTTGCGGGTTGGGCGGGTTACGGGTTGTTGAATTTTAGTCAATTAGGGTTGCGAGTCGGGTTGATCGGGCAGGTTAGTCGGGTCTGGTTCTGCTTTGACACCTATAAATCGGCTCTGCCACATGTCTCACTCGTCGGCTACCTCATCACGGGTCGAAGGTCCCGGCTCATCATCTGGAATGAGGCCCTGGCGACGAGCTATCCGCTCCAGCAGGTCGGTGTGTCGGTCGAGCCAGAAAGTGACTCCTACTACGTGGGTCTCAAGGCGATCCATCCTCTCCACGAGGTGCACCCCGGAGGTGTAAGGACCGGCTCCTGATGATGATGCTTCTGCTGGTGGTGGTGGGGGTGCAGGATGCTGGAGTGCAGGATGCTGGCGGCGACCAAGAGCTCGAGCAAGTTGCTGCTCTGGAGGAGGAACCCCGGTGGTAGATTCAGTCCGATGAACCGAAATGGTCCTAATGCTCGAAACAAACGCATGGAACTCAGGGTGCCCTCTTCAAACCCCGAGGAGTGCCCCTCCTTTGTGTAGCCCACCATATTGACATTGTAGTGACGAGCAAGGTGGGTGATGCAGGGCCCCAATGACGTAACATATAGACGTTTTCCCCCCATGGCCCTGGCGAAAGAGGTGGCCAAGACCGAACCAAGATTAATATTGCTAGACGGGTCCACCATGCAAGCGAATGCCAGCAAGATCCTTTTGGTTATCTTGTTTGGATTGTAATAGCTAGGGTAGAGGGAACGGGTAAGGAGGGCACTGATGATGTGCCATTGTGGCTTGAGTGTGGATGCCAACGTGAGTGTTGATCGAAACGGCGCTTGTCGGTGCTCCGGAAGACAAAACCTTCAAAATGCTTCATTCATGTCGCGTCTTCTTGTGGCGTCCTCTTCCCACTCAGCTCAAGATGTGGCCTCAACTCCCATAGCTCGGGCTAACCCGTCAAAATTCAAGGTGCGGCATTCTCCGCCCAAGTGAAATTTCATCGTGCACCTCCAGTTTCCGAACAGACTCTTGTTCTTAAAGATGGTGAAGGTACTGAAAAAC